TCATACCTCAACCCCACCGCCCATCCCCCTCCCTATTCCCCCACTCACGGTCACCGTATATCCAAGTTGGACGGACATAGATCCCCAACATGAAAATTCCGCCACTTTGGGTTTGCCGACTGAGACTTGTCTCCTTGTGCTGACCGGATGTGGTCGGTCCTGGTACGCAGACCGACTCAGGGACGCCGTCCACAGCTGAACCACACGAGTCCAGTATCATCCGGACGCGGTCAAGATATCACGTACACGTTTCCCCCCAGACCCTGTCCACCTGACCCCCCCATATCACCGGCATTCCTCTCCATATCCGTGTTGTAACAAGCCCTTGTGGCTTAAGTAAGCCCTCTCTCCCAACCCCCGCACCCTCCATACGCCGCCACCCCCCCACCCCAGCCCCTACCTCTCGGTTGCCACACACCAATCATTCACTACGGTGGAGATCTCACTTTGACAAGGTAGCTTCTTCTTGTTCTTTCACTTTTTCAAATTATACATGTATGTATTTTTTCTTTTCAGTATAGCTCCAGCCTTATTTGTCACGCATGCCTGTTTGTGGTGTTTCACATCGAAACTAAACATGCTTTTGCAAAAGTAAAAAGCAGCTCTTCCTACAGTTTGTGCTTCAGTTTACATACAGTATATACTTAGAATATTATCTGCACTGTATTGTATCAAATGCTTAGAATATTATCTGCACTGTATTGTATCAAATGCAGTGAGGTTTTCCCGCTGCCCCATTCATCGGTAGAGCTGTTATTTACGTTTGCTATTTTGTCGTAGACAGGTGTCTGTGGTGTTAATGTGACTGGCCGTACCCCCCAGGGCGATGCTACTGACTGAAATGTCTTTAGGCCATTCCCAAAGGGGGGTCATTGACCATGTTCTTATGCACAGTAGAATTGTGAATGGGCTGATTCATCAATTTCATGCTCATACTGTGCCGAACTGCAATAGGGAACTTCTGCTTTTTCTTTCCTAATCCGTACTATCGTCATTTGTCCTCTACTTCTTGTGTATGTTTGTCACACTCTTATGACCCGCTATTTCCGGGGTGCCTTGATAGTCAAAGCAGAATTTGTGCTGTTGAAGCTAGAGAGGTGAGCAGAGTAAGCCCGAATCCCTGTAAGGACTTCTCTGTTGACATCCACCCCTTTGTGCTCATATGACCTTATGCAATTGCGAGGGACGTAAAACCTTACTAAAGCATAACACTGAAAACTCTTGTCTGTCTTACTTTTCTTCTGCTGAATCGATAACAACGACTTACTTTTTCTCAGTACATAATACTAATATTACTGTCGAAATTGTTCAAGATGGCCGGCCACGCATGGTCGAGAAAAAAAAAGTATTTATCTTCGACATGTGGGCATCTTGGACAGCATGATTTAAGATACATGGAGGGAAATGAAAAGTTGTTGTTTGTGCTGGTGTATGTCTTGGACAAGTGGCCTTTAGAGCAGGTTTGGCGGGTGCTCTGGTGTGGTTTGCGTCTTCTTTCCTATCAAACATATATAGTCTTTATCTCTCCTCCTTCTTTTTTTGTGTTTGTTACTCTCTTGTAACACCTCTAATCTTCGGCTCTCATATGACCTTATTGTGTTGCAAGTGCCGTAAAACACTTACTAAAACTAAAAAAAAGAGCAGGTATGACTACATAATGCGACCTCAGTTGTTTAAAAAAAAATGGAGATACGACAAGAAAGCACTGAGATCGCGATATATTATTGACTTGCTTGCTTCTCTGTCTGGCTCAAGCGAATGCTCAGAGACTTTTTCTTCTAGGTACTTGGCTGTTTTTTTTGGTTCTGACTCATTGTTTTAGCTTGGACTTTGACTTTTTTACAGACTTAAGACCTTTGACTTCCGTGATTTACTAACAGTAACATTTTATGTCAAATCACAAAATGTTGGTTTGGGAATCTTGAAATGGCCTCATTACTGTCTGGTATTAATGTTTTCTCAGTACTGAGAATGGGGTTTTTTTTGGTATTATTTTCCTGTGTTGTGGAGTCCACTTATGAAATCCATTCAAGATTTACTTTCTTACTTACTACCTGTTACGCCATCTGGCGTTTAGGGCAGCTACAAAGGATCTCCAGTTCTGTCTGTTTTGGGCCAGCTTGGTCTCATACAAGATAAACCCATCAAATTACTCTTTTTGTGACAGCATATTTTATCACGACTTCTTGGGGGGGGGCGCCCTCTTTCACTTTCACTTACTGACATGACTCTCTAAGAGAAAACTTTTGAGTGGCTGGTGGGCGCTCTTGTGTGGTTTGCGCCTCCGTTCCTATCACACTTATACAAAGTCATTATCTCTCCCCTTTGTCTTGTTTGTTAGTTACTGTCTAGTAACACCTCCAACCTTCAGCATTTATTATATGACCTATTTGTGTTGCAAGTGATGTAAAACTCTTACTAAAACTAACTGAGATTGTCTCTTGTGGATTGTTCTGATCAAGATATGCAGTATTTTATAATGTTTTCTTTAATGTTTAAAATACAATTAAAGCTTTCTTTTTTTTTCTTTTTTTTCTTTCCACCTTCCTCCTCTGCCCACTCTATATTCTCCTTCCTCTCCCACCTCCACATTCTATCCCTTCATCCTCCGGCCATCTCCCTTTGACCTCCGCATCCCACACCCTCATCTTCTCTCTTTTTACTCCGTCTTCCTCCTCCCATTTCGTGCTGCTATTCCCTCAACCCCCCCCCCACAACTTCTTGTTATCCAACCCCTTCCTCCTTCCTTCCCCTCATTTGTATCCCCACCCTCCATGTTCCCCCTTCGTCCCTCCTCTCCCCCCATTTTATCCCCTCGCTCCCACCTCCCCCTCCCCTGTATTCTGTCTTCCCCCTCCGTCTTATCCCCTCCCACCTCCTTTGTTTCTTGTCTTCCCCCTCCTTATCCCCTCCCCCCACCTCCTCCTCCCTCTTTACCTGCCCCTCCCGTCGTATCCCCTTCCTGTCCTCCCTCCTTATCATCTCTCTTATCCCTTCCCTCCCACTTCCTCCTCCTCCCACCTTCCCAGGCTGAAGATCCCAAGAAGAAGATGGAGGAGACACACAAGCATGAGCTCCTGTTGTTGATGACGCTAGCCAACCAACACCGCGGGTGAGAGCCTACAAATCTATCTGTTCCTTTCTTTTCCTGGTTTGTCTCCAACTTTTACTGTCTAGCTCGTTTAGGTGGGTGGTTGTTGGTGGGTGCTCTGGTGTGGTGTGGTCATCGTAAAGCCTGTTCATTTGCCTTCCTTTTGGTGAAAAAAATATCCATCTATGTTGAATAGAAGTCAACATATTTGCGGTTGAATGGGGTTAGGGTCGCCTGCTTTCTGAAGTAAATTTAGCGAGAAATTGGCCCCGAAAGTTTGGTAACTTCCATAGCCTGATATTCCCTGGAAACTGAAAATTTACTTTTTTTTTTCAATGTTTTTCATTAAAATCCACACTAAAATGTGTTTCTAAGTGTACATAAAAGGTGTTGAGCCTCCCCCCACCCCAAAAAAAAAAAAAATTGAAAAAAAAAAATCTCTCTTTTAACACCTCTAATCTTCAGCACTTATTGTGTTGCAAGTGCCGTAAAACTCTCATGAAAACTAAACTTTTACTTCTGTGTTCCAGTTTCAACGTGAAGCCAAAGCCATTAGACCTGAGGAATTCTGTATAACGTTGTAATGTATATTTTATCTCTGTGGTCCAGTTTCAATGTGAAACTTGAGGAATTCTGTATAATGTTGTAATATATATTTTATCTCTGTGGTCCAGTTTCAACGTGAAGCTGAAGCCGGTGGACCTGAGGAACCTGTCGCTGCTCTCCTCACTGTCCCTGGGTCTGGAACGTTCCGTCCAGCTCAACTCGGTGCCCCCGTACTGCGTTCCGTACGCCCAGCTGGCCGTCCACGTCTGTCACCACAGCGTACCGAGCTCGGAGCTCCTCATGGCTCTGGACGCCAGCGTGGTGGCTCTGTGTGTGGCGGATATCAGTCAGGTGAGGGGGGGTGATTTTTTAAAAAATTTT